CTTGTTCATTATAAACAGGTAGACCAATCTTAAGAATGTCATAATTATGCTGGAGACTTAAGTTTCCTTGTGTAAAGGGAATTCAAGTTCGTACAAATGAAGGGTCACATCCTTCAAGGGGGATACGTACATGTAAGATGTCTTGAAAATTAATGGAATCATTTAAAAATCTTCTTAAGGTTCACATCTAGCAAATGTCTTCAGACTTTCTGTTGCTATATCTATTATGACGTCATTATTACTTTAAACTCTCTTTTTCCCGTACTTTACGGAACCAATAGAATTATGTAGAAAATGAAGTATTTTCATGGAATGTAATAAGAAATCTCATGAAAAGTAGTCCCGAAACCTATATCAAACTTGACTTACTTTAAAGAAGATACCAAAAACATACAAATAACCGTTTTCTGAGAGACTGTAGGTAATCTGGATACATTTTCTTCGTCTGATACAGAAAAAAAAATTTCCATATTCATGTATGAATTTCTAAATTATTCATTGAGAATGACAGTTAAAAATGTGATTTTGGCATCTTGTTATTTTCAAAAATTAAGCCCCGTAACACCTCAAGTATCCATTCTTACCTTGTAAAGCATCATTAAAGAATCTCTAGGTACTTTTCATTGAGTGATCTTGACCTTAAAAAACATGTGTTTGAAAATATTAACATTTTATGGAATTTCTGTGAGATAGTGAGATAGTTTAGATCCAAATTTATTCAAATAATGACCCTTGGGGAAGGGCTGGGCCACATTGTATGATCAAAGTATTGCATAAGAATATACGGGAAACTTTTAAATTCGGTGGGGCCACAAGGGATGATCAAAGTTTTACATAGGAATAAATAAGAACAATCTTATTTAAACCGCTTATAAGTGAACTTTCAGTTTTCTTTAAATGATTAAGTCAAGTGTGTAGGGTTGGACTAAATTGGACGAGCAGAATAGTTGTGTAACTGTTCATCTTTATTTTATTCAGATTATCTCACATTCTGGACAAAGTCCATTCATCAATACAGCAGTGAAAAGGCTCCTGTTTTACTGGTGGGCACTCATGCTGAACAAAAGACAAAGGAGGTATCTGAGAGAAGTGTGAAAGCTTGTTTAGCTCTTATATGCCGAAGGAGCAAATAAGCTTTTTAGCTCACCTGAGCCCATGCTCAAGTGAGCTTTTCTGATTGCTGTCTGTCTGTCTGTCTGTCCGTCTGTCTCTAAACTTTTCACATTTTCAACTTCTTCTCAAGAACCGCTGGGCCAATTTCAACCAAACTTGGGACAAAGTATCCTTGGGAGAAGGGGATTCAAGTTTGTTCAAATGAAGGGCCACGTCCCTTTCCAAGGGGAGATAATTATGAATTAGAGAAAAATAAATGGCATTTCAAAAAAAAATCTTCTCAAGAACCACTGGTCCAGGAAAGATGAAACTCATGTGGAATCATCCTCAGATATTGTAGATTGAAGTTTCTTCAAATCATGACCCACTGGGGTAGGGTGGGGCCAAAATGGCCGACCAAAGTTTTACATAGGAATATATAGGGAAAAAATCTTTAAAAATCTTCTTCTCAAGAACCACTGGGCCAGGAAAGATGAAACTCATGTGGAATCATCCTCAGGTAGTGTAGATTCAAGTTTGTTCAAATCATGACATAGGGGTTAGGGTGGGGCCAAAGTAGCCGACCAAAGTTTTACATAGGAATATATAGGAAAAATCTTTAAAAATCTTCTACTCAAGAACCACTGGGCTAGGAAAGTTTGTTGACATATAGTGTAGAGGATATATACATAAGGAAACCTTTAAAATCTTCTTTTCAAGTACTTCAAAGCTATGGTTAGTGATATTTATATTGAATCATACTCAGGTAGTGTATGTTCTAATTTCTTCAAATCATGACCCTCGGGGGGTTAAAATTCAGTAATTTTTTCATAAGCACAAATTCTCCTAGGTCAAGGTCAAAAGGTCCTTTCTGTTCTTAAGAAAAAAAAATTAAAATTATGGCCTATTTCCATATTTCACAATTGTATTCCCAGTGAGAATACCCTACTTTTGGTACCAATATATTAGATTTGCATTAAAGAAAATTTTAATCTTTGCTGTGTTGCCATACGGGGACATCAGTGTTTCACAAACACATCTTGTTTAATACTGAACTGCATTGCGTTGTTTTTCCTAGCTTCTTTGCACATGTGATAAATAGGCATTCTTGTCTTTAAACAAATAAATATGTTTTACTGTGCAACCGTTGGGAGGAGCGCAGCTATGCACTATCTTTAACCTACTCATGTACAGCATCATTCAAGAAAAAATGTTCTAAAACAAAACAATAATCAAAGTACTGAGACAGTACTGAAAGACGGGGTCAAAATGATTTTCATGCTTGATTTCACAAATGTGATTTATTTGACAAGTTTTTATTTTTCTTTTATTTAACATACACTTAATACTTAATACAAAACTGTGAATAATATAAATTTGCGTTTTTCATTTAATTTGAAGTAGAAATTTCTAGAATTGCTAAGTCTAGAAACTTTTTTTAACTGTCCGAATTTCACCTGGTCTGAATTAATATTTTTTCCGGAAGTAAACAAGGGATGATGCGTGTGCAGTCGTAATACTGCGCAGGAGAATACTCTGATTACTAGTGTGTTTAACAATTAATATTTTGAGTTTACATTTACAAAAGGCTTCATTTATTTGATTTAGAAAAAGTTCATATCACTTTGTTCAGTTTGATACAGAATGATTATATTTTGATCAAAACAATTTCTGCACTATTTCATAGGGTGTAGATGTTATCACCACGGCTTCCGTTTTGAGGGCTCTGACAGTAAACTTTTAAATTGGCGATAACTTCTGAACCTCTTTAAAGGGTTCACCACAGCTCATGTTATTTCTGTTGCATTGTATATACATGTATGTGTCAACTATAAAAATTTGATTTACATGACTTGACTTGACTGAGTTTTGGGCTGTAGAGCTTAAATTTCACATATGTATTTGTTGTGGCAAGACAAATTCTTGGATACCAATAACCTTGTCCTTGAAGATTTCTGTTTTTATGAAAAAAAATTAACATTATGGCCTATTTTCATATTTCACAATTGTATTCCCAGTGAGAATACCCTACATTTGGTACCAATATATTAGATGTGCTTCGCGCCGCCTCGCTGTGCTCGCTTCAAAGATAAATATAAAAAATCTTTTCAAGAAAAGCAATGATATTAATAATCATATTAAAATTGCAGCATTACTTAGCTTGCTTAGGTAGCTTGAGATTCAGACATGTTTAAATCATAATCCCAAAGCGCATTAATGTGTTTAAGCTCAGTAGGACTAAAATTTACCTGTCGACATTATATATTTAGAAATGCATATATTAGGACAAATCGAATTCTTCTTAAAAATATAATATAATTATTAATCATGAACATACTGATCACCCACAATCCACCCACACATGGACCTATTTTTAGTTTGTTTAAGGTAGTATTTCATATTTACATAGACTGCTAGCCTAATACTTTAATACCCAATTACTCTTTTTTACCAGGAGAAAGAAAAGTTTTTCCGTGAGATATGGACGAGCTTGGAAACAAAGGATGCGTCTCTGCAAAGGCATTTTGACAGGAAAAGGATGTTTGCTGTTGGATTCCACGAGAATGAATGTATTGAAAAAATCAAGCTGTCAGTTGTTGATGTTGTCCAAAAACTTGATCACTGGGGTGAAAAACTTCCACACTCCTGGGCATTGTTTGAAAAATTCTTCCAGGAAAAGAAAAACCCTAAAATCATCAGCAAAGAGACACTTTTGGCTTTCAATGAAGCATTGCCACAAGAATTGAAGTTGGGAACACAAGAAGATATTAACACCATGCTGCAGTTTTTCCATGACATCAGAGAAATTTTACACTTTGACCAAGAATCCCTCAGAGAAATCATAATTCTTGATGTTCAATGGTTTGCAGATGCATTCAAAAATGTCATCACCGATAAAAACCATGCAGCAGAGGATCTATTTAAGCTTGCCTCACAATGGGATAAATTTAATGAAACAGGAGAACTCAGTGACACCTTGCTGTCTGCGATATGGGAAATGAACAACAATGGGTACCTTGAACACAAAGATGATATCATGCGCTACATGGAAAAGCTTGGACTCTTGGCTAAAATGGAAGACAACAATTGGTATGTTCCCTGTATGAACAAAAGACCGTTTCCTGTACGCAGTTTTTCATCCTACCCTGCCTCATCCATCCTCTGCTACATGTTTGATGTTCTTCCTGCTGGAATTTTTCAGCGTCTTGTTGCAAGTTGCGTGCAATTTCGATGGAAAATTGTCAAAGTAAATAAAGAAGGAATGGAACAACCATGCATTTACCAGACAGCGGCTGTGTTTCTGTTCGAGAAACACTGTGTTCTGCTTGGAATGACCCAATCAGAAATTCAGTTGCAGGTGTACGTAATTGAGGGAGAAGTTGATATACCCACATGTATCAAGATAAGAGAGAAAATTGAAGATGAATTGCACACTCTGTCCTCTACATTTCAAAGAAACTTGAAATTCCAAATTGGCTTTAAATGCAAACCCATCGGCTTTTGTGACAGTAAAAAAAGTCACGTGATCAAGGAATCTGAGTTAACGGAGCCGACTCTTCTCTGCCCTTCCTGTCCTGTGGAGAAAAAGCACAATATTGACTCGACAGAAATCCTCAAATACTGGAAACAGGTAGTGTGAAATGTTTTCTTTAGATACTGAAATGAAACATATATGATCTGCGAGATAGAATAAATTAAGTTTGAAATAATAGGTTTGAAATGTGTATCGAATAAATTATTTTCGATTTTGATGTATATATACCTTGATGCTCTTCCTTTATTTGGTTAAAATTTGGTCAAGACAAAAAACAAGTAGTCAATTAAGTAATTGAAAATATTAAAATCTTATTGAGTTAACAAGGTAAACAAAATATAAAAATACTATTGATTCCAAAATTCTATAATATAGTTTTATGTATTATGGAGAAGAAAACACAAAATTTCAAGTGTAATGTAAACGGAATTTATAATAACCTAATTAATTGTCAACAAACTATAATGCATGCTGTCCATTATCATATGATTTTCCAGGTCAATACTCTTTGTAGATTTTGACTTATTTCTTCATGATATTTTCTTCTTCTAATTTTATTTTTTGCTAATGAGTTCAAATTAAAATGAAAAAAAAACTTTTTTTCAGATGAAGACAAGCCCTTCTACAACTCCAATCGCCTCAGGACAAGACCTGGGGGACCAATCTAGATTTGCAAAACTCGGAATGGCAACAAACGATGTGTTGAATCAGGCATACAGAGATATTCTGGAGATGGAGGTACAACCTACCGACATTGAAAACACAGTCAAAGCATCACCAGTTTATAAAAGGTTGCGTCCAGAACAAGAGTATATCTTGCAGGATGCTAAAAATTCTGGATATAAAAATTTTGATATCTCATTAACATACACATTGATCAGAAACATTTGTAAAAAGGTTCCTAAACCAACGAAAGGAAAATGGGGAGACGAGCCTACAGCAGGAGAAGTGACCGTGGGTGATGATATCGAAAGAATTAGGTCAATCCGGAACAGTTTAACTGCACACATGAGCTCAGCCTCCATATCAAAGTCAGAATTCCAGAAAACCTGGTCCATTATCTCAGATATCTGTCAAAGATTGGAAATTTATACTGGAAAGAAGTATTTGGATGACCTCAATAAAATCCAAAAAATGACTGATGAGAATGGAAGATGAAAATGCCATTATAGAAAAGATCAAATTGGAAAGTCTGCATAAAATGGTGAAAAAATTGTGTTTAGAAATAGAAGATGTGAAAGCAGCAGTAGAAAAGCCTTGAAATAAAGCACGAGTCGAATTAAGAGTGTAAATCTAAACTTTTTCTTTGAAACAAGAAAAGTAAAATGTGTATTGTTTTATATTAACTAAGTAGTGATATTCCAGTTCAAAATTATTGTTTTTTTTTCTAATAATAGATCTGATTTTTGATAGACTTGATTGGTTTCAAATTAAAAAAAAAAACACTGATTATGAATTTGAAAATGTTTTTTCTGTGACTTTAGAAAGACAACTAAATATGTAACACTGAGAGGTCATATTACATGTATGTCAAAGAAAATATTTGGAACGTGAATTGTTTAAAGACACAGTGAATATATTGAAACTTTATTATATGTATGAATCAAAATTTATCTGTGTATCAGATTAAGTTATAGTGGATGTTATGAATCTGCTACTGTCTCATACATGTACTTCAGAATAACCTTTTAGGTCACCTAGACTCAGGTGACCTATTGCTATCTGTTTTCGTCCGTTGTGTGTTAACAAACATTTTCAGCTTCTTCTCTGAACAGCAAACTTTTAAACAAATTTGGCACAATTATGGGTACAGGGGAAACTAAATGTGAATTTTATCCCTGTCCCCCGGGGCCTTAAGGTGCCAAAACCACAAGAATTAATGTAATCCTTACAAACTTCTTCTTTAGTTAAACATGAACAGTAAAACTGTTGGCATGATTGTAATCAGCATGAATCCTCTACCAAAATTGTGTTTGTCAACATGAAGGTTCTAGCCACTGTAACAAGGTAAGCAAAATATAAAAATGCACTTTTAATTATGGCCAAAATTCTATAATATAGTTTTATGTATTATGGAGATCCAAACACAAAATTTTATGGCAAGTGTAATGTAAACGGAATTTATAATGTACCTAAATTGTCAACAAACTATAATGCATGCTGTCCATTATCATATGATTTTCCAGGTCAATACTCTTTGTAGATTTTGACTTATTTCTTCATGATATTTTCTTCTTCTAATTTAAATATTTGCTAATGATTTCAAATTAAAATGAAAAAAAAAACTTTTTTTCAGATGAAGACAAGCGCTTCCACAACTCCAATCGCCTCAGGACAAGACTTGGGGGACCATTCTAGATTTGCAAAACTCGGAATGGCAACAAACGATGTGTTAAATCATGCATACAGAGATATACTGGAGATGGAAAATATTTTTCTTTCCTGACATTGAGAACAAAGTCAAAGCATCATCTGTTTTTAAAAGATTGCGCCCAGAACAAGAGCATATCCTGCAGGATGCTAAACATTCTGGATATAAAAATTTTGATATCTCGTTAACATACACATTGATCAGAAACATTTGTAAAAAGGTTCCTAAACCAACGAAAGGAAAATGGGGAGACGACCTGGCATAAGAAGTGACCGTGGGTATATGATGTTATTCTGAGAGAATTAGGTCAATCCGGAATGGTTTGACTGCACATGTTAGCTCAGCCTCCATATCAAAGTCAGAATTCCAGAAAACCTGGTCCATTATCTCAGATACCTGCCAAAGATTGGAAACTTTTACTGGAAAGAAGTATTTGGATGACCTCAATAGAATCCAAAAAATGACCTTGAGAATGGAAGATGAAAATGCTTTTATAGAAAAGATAAAAAAGGAAATTCAACATAAAATTGTGGATGTTGTGATAGCAGCAGTAGAGGGGCTTAAATAAAGCACGCGTCGAATTAAGAGTGTAATTCTGAACTTTTTCTTTGATACAGGAAAAGTAAAATGTGTATTGCTTTGTAAAGATAAAGTAGTGATATTCCAGTTCAAAACTAATTTTTTTTCAAATAATTAGATACTAGTTAAGAGATATGACTTTTTTTCAACTTATTATTTTCAAATTGAATAAGCACTGATCATAAATATGAACATATTGTTTTCTGTTACTTTATTTAGAAAGTCAACTAATGTGCATATCTAACATTGAGTGATCATATTACATGCATGTCAAAGAAAATATTTGGAAAGTCAATTGTTTAAAGACACAGTGCATATATTGAAACATTATTATATGTATGAATAAAAATTTAGCTGTGTTTCAGGTAAATTAATAGTAGATGTAATGAATCCGCTACTTTCTCATATATTTACATCAGAATGACCTTTTTAGGTCACCTGAGTAGACTCAGTTGACCTATTGCTATCTGTTTTTGTTCGTTGTGTGTTAACATTTGAATATTTTAAGCTTCTTCTCTGCAACCGAACAACCGATTTAAACTAAATTTGACACAACACATTTGTGGGTACAGAGAAACAAATATTGTGAATTTCATTGTTCCTTCTACCTTGGGGCCTGAGGGGAGCTGCCAAAACCACAAGAATTAATGCAATCCTTAAAAATCTTCTTCTTTACTCCTGAACATGAAGCAGTGAAACTGTTGGCATGATTGTTATCAGCATTGAGTCCTCTACCAGCATTGTGGAATTCATGGCCTTAAAGTCAGGGGTTCTAGTGCTTGGGTGGGGCTAAATAGATTTTATAAAGTGAAATTGATATTAATGTGGGGCTCTATTGATTATATAGTGAAATTACATTAACTCTTTAAATGTATTCTCCTCTTCTCTTAGGCATTAAATGAACTACAATGTATATACATATAAAGCTATGACGAGGTACATACATGTATATAGCTATGACGAAGAAGGGTGGTTCTTACGAATTTGTGATTTACAGGGCCCCTGGGTCAAGGGCTCTGGCGTTAAGCCGGGGTTCTAATGATAATATAGTTAAGATACATGACTTCTCTGGAAATATTTTTCTTAGCTCCTGGTAAATAAGGCAATGATCCATTTACATATTTATGATGACGAAAGGTGCCTCTTTTTAAAACGGTTAAGGTCCCCTGGAATAGGGGTAGCAGGGTTTGGGGGTCCTTTGTCTGATAATGAATTAATGCCCTGATATATGCTCTTTGGTAATAATTAACCATTTATGATGAAATAAAATTTCTAAAGAAAGAGGGTGTATAAAAAGTGGACAATCCCCCGCTCTGAGACAAAATGTTTCTCAATTTTTAAAATTCAAAGAAAATTTATATTTTTCTAAAATTATGTTCTCAGTTATGTCATGTTCAAAACATATTATCAATTTATTTTACTGAACGACTTATTATTTGATAAACTTTATTTCAAAGTTGACAATTATGCATATTTAATGGAAAATGGGTTCACTAGAACTATAAAAAATGAATTTTGAACATGAATCGGTCAAGTCTCCATTCTTCGTTAACGCTTCAATGTAGAAAAGTAAATGCGAAATCTATATCATTCGTCCAAAAAATGGAATCTGAACCAATTCTATGAAAATTGAACATTTCTGAAAAAAATTACGCTTCGACAAAACCTTTCATTTAAATCACACTGACAAATGTTGACATTGCATATACTTATGCGGCCTTGGACTAAGCCCTGAGCAATGGAGAGGGTTCAAATCATACTTGAAGCTTTTTTCCCTTTTGTTATAACGTATCTTTAAAAAAATGAGTGAAAAATAAATTATTAGTGAAATATTAAAGAGTGAAATACAAAATTAAATGTGTAAAAGATGATATAAACAATATAATTTTGAAAAAAATAACTTTAAGAATTGGGAGATGTCTTTTCTTAGAGCGGGGGATTGTCTATGCCTTGTACGTCTACATTCTTTTGGAATATGTGGCCCTAGGGTCAGAGGTTGGTATGGGGTGGGTTGGGGTGCACAACTGGTGGTTATAGTGTGGAAATATATATATCTTCTCTTTGTTATTCTGATCTACCTCTGGGTTTTAAGTAACCAAAGTAAGCATTCTAAGTGTATAATTACGATAATTATACCTCTTTCAAATTTGTGAATTTCATAGCTTTTGGTTTAAAACAAGAACCACATTCAATTGCTGAAAAGTTGTTACATGATTCTCTGGTGACCTGTGTATAATAACTTTTTTTATCTAATTCTTTATTTATTTTGCATTGGTCATCATACAAAAGTCAATTGTTTTTTTTTATGGACTCTTGTTTAATTAATATGAAAGATATAACTTTGTTTCTTTCTATAATTTTTTTATCTAATTCTTTATTTATTTTGCATTAAGGTCATTACTTTGCTCAAATTTATTGTAATTTTACATGAAAGATTGTTTTTTTTATATTTTTTTTTAAGATTCCATTGGCATATATTATCTAAATTAAAAATATCATTCCATCTTGTTAGGTCACCTGACTATTGCTATCCGTTTTCGTCCGTCGTCACGCGTCGTGTGTTAATATTTGAACATTATCATTTCTTCTCTGAAACCACTGATTCAATTTCAACCAATTTTGGCATATATTATCTGGGTGGCCTGGGGGTGAGGCCAAAACTACTAAGATAAATGCAATCTTTAAAAATATTTTTTTACTCCTGGACATCAGACAGTCAAAAACTGTTCGTATGATTGTAATCAGCATTGATTCCTTTACCAAAATTGTGAAATTCATGGCACAAGGGTCAGGGGTTCTAGTCCTATTTACGGGCTTAATAGGTTATATAGTGAAAATGCATTATTTCTTTGAAATTATTTTTTCTTCTCCTGGACATTGAATAAACTAACCAAGTGCATAGTTGAGTTAATAATTACTGTCTCCTCCAAAATTGGGAATTTCATGACCCCAGGGTCAGGGAATTTAGTACTAGATGAGACTATATACCGTATAGCGGGATTTCTTGGCGGGTGTAAAATTTGGTGTTTTGACTGCTCAAAGGTATACCAATAATTTTGGCGTTATTTATTTTAGCGGATGCAGGGTTTCAGCTCTTTGCAAATGGACACTAAAATGAATACTGATTATTTTAGCGATTACAATTTTAGCGGACTATCACCAAAACGCCAAAATAAGCCAAAATTAATACCCCGCTAGAATAACCCGC